GAGTTCAAGACCAGCCTGGGCAACAAAGTGAGCTCGAGGCCAGCCTGAACTGCATAGTGAGACCCTCTCTCAAAGAGACAAAAAAAAAAAAAAAAAAAAAAAAAAAAAGAAAGAAACAGGTGACAGGGCCTCCAAGTCACATTCTCACATGAGGTACCAAGCTTGGATGGCACCTAAGTCTTTGCTTCTTTTGTTATTCAAGTTGACACTCCTAAATGCCCTAAACATCTCCAAGGAGCAAACCAGACAGGGCTAGACAAAGTGACTTCACTGACAAAATTCAAAGAACCATCTGCACACCTGCCTGGCTACCCAGAGAGTTCAGTAAGTTTCTCTCTGCTTAGACATTTCCCAAGTGGATTTCCAGGGCTTCTACCCCAATACTGCCCACTTGCCCTCCCTCCAGACAGACAGTTTCACTGTAAATTCTGGACACACACATTCAATCTCTCCCATTTTGCGGGGAGGAAAAAAATCTTGTGTTCTTAGAACCATGAACTTCAAAAGATAGATCACCTTGTATTTGAAGGATTTAGCAATCTGAATATTCCCACCTGTCATTCAGTCCCCTAGATTCCAAGAGTAATCCCATCTCCCTGTAATTCCTTTGAAAAGTCACCAATTTCTCTTCCTGAAGACATTACTTAAAAATTCCTTCACTGTCTCCTCAATTAATGGCTTCATGGAAATCTCAATTCCTCAAAGCAATTTCCCCATCTTTCTGCACTAGACAGAGACTTTCTAGAGACAGGCTGGCCCCGTCCTAGTCTCAGCCACCTTCACTAACAGGTATATTCACAAATATATTCCAAGCTCCTCACACAAGCGGCCCCAAGTCCAAAGCAGTCATCTCAAGCTTTTTCCAAATCCCTCCTTTTCTCAGCCTACCACTTGGGCACCATGTCACTGCAGTCGCCCCGTCTCAGCCCGTTCTGCTGTCTTCCTTCCCCGTCGTGCTAGCCTGGCCCTCACTAGTCCTTGTCCTGTGACCACTTATTACAATTCTTCCCCTGCTTCCTAAGGCAGTCGCTCAGCCACACTCCAGGTTCCAACTCAGCACTCCTCCCATCATTTCTGCTCCATCCTAGGATCTATCTTATCTGATCTTCCCCACCCCTGGCTGATCAGCCCTCAAACCCCTCCCCACCGCAAGCCAGCTCACCGGTCCCACCTGCCCTTGTCCCACTGTTCCTCGGCCCTGGGACAACTCCTTAGTCTCCCGCCAGCCCGCTCGGCCCCTCCTGCGGCTCCGGCTGGCCTCGTCATCCCTCGGCCTCCCCCGTGCGACCACCCCACGTCTCTCTCATGCAGTCCTCTCGATTCCCTCAGGCCCTCCTCACGCCCAGTCCGGCTCTCGCTGTCCCTCTGACGCCAACTCAGGCCCTGTCCAGCCCTCACTGTCCCCTCGGCCTCCGCTTAGGCCCATTCTGCCCTCACGGCCCCCGGGCCCCACCTCACGCGCCGTCCGGGTCTCTCCAGCCCCACTGGCACCACCTCAGGCCCTGCCCGGCCCCCGGCATCCCGCCCGCCCTTGCCGAGCCGCCCCGCAGCCACATCCTCGCTGTCCTTCCCCTACGGCGGGCCATCGGCCTTCCTGGTCGCCACCCCGACCCCTCTTCCTCCTCGCTTCCGCACGGCCGCCCGGACACTCACTACTCCTTGAGCACCACCATGTCGCTTCGCGGCTCGGCGGCTGCCCGCTGCCCGCCCGCTGCCCGGCGGCCGCTCTCCCCTTGGCCCGGCCCGGCCCGGCTGCCTGTGTGCCTTCGTCGTGGTCTGCTCCGTCCCCGCGGCTCTTGCTGCGGTCGCCGCGGTCGCCGCGCCGGCTGCTATCGTCCCGGCCTCGCCGCCTCCCGTGCCGCTTCCGACGCCGCCCGGAGCTCCGGTTCCGCAGCGCCGCGCGGGGGCGGGGCGTCTCTGCGGCAACCAGAGCGTCACACGCCACGGAGCGCGCTGACGTCAGCAAGGAGGCGGGGCCTTCCCGGGCCCACCCCCTCCTGTCCTTAAATGGGCCACGTCGGTGGCATCGGCTTCCTAGGTGGGCCTTTGGTCTGCGCAAAAGCTGGAAAGTAGGCAAAGCCGACACCGAGGAGTCCAGCAGGGTGTCAGTTGAGTTCTCTTGTGCAGGAAGAAGAGCTGTGCTTGTGTGCCTGGGCCTCCTGGGTGCGTGGGTTGACAGCCAGGAAAAGGTTATATTAAAAAAAAATTAATGCCAACTATATGTGCAAGTTATCCTCCTGAGTACTTGGCTCTTCAAAACAACTTTACTCCAAAGGTATTGTTACTGCTCCGGTTTACAGGAGAAGAGGGAGCAGACGGTAAGAGACTTGCCCACGTCCACAGCTAGAATCTGTTGGAGCTGAGATCGTAACCCAGCAGTCTTAGTGTCATCCAATAAATATTTGCTGAGTGCCTGCTGCGCACCAGAGCCCGTTGAGAAGCTGAACAGAGCAGATACCTTGGAGCCTTCAGGGAACTCGAGGTCAAGTGGAGGAGTGAGTAGTCAGTGGCTGGAGGTGACAGAGTCAGACAATTACAATGGGAAGGGTTGTGAGAGGTGAAACACAGGTGTGGGATTACACCAAAACCTACCTGAGTGTGAGGGCCACAGTCAGGGATGGCACCATAAAGCATGAAGTTGGGGAGCTGGGGAGATGCAGGGGAGGGGGTAGTATTATAGACAGCTCAGTTAGCTAGAGATATTGTAGGCAGTCAGACAGGGCTTGGGCCTGCAGAAAGTCAGTGCAGCAGATGAGAACGCGTCAAAACTGTGGCTGGAGGCCCATCTGAAGAAGATTAATGTCACAACGGCCAGATTTACATACTTCTCTAAGGGATAAAGGGAAATTTGAGATTATTGGTACCACCCTTTTGAGATTTCCCATATAAATAAACCATTATCTCATTAGGGGTGGGCCATCCTCACCCACCCACTAAAACTAAAATGAAGGCTACTAATTTAAAATCCAGACTATAGATTATTGACCAAGGTTAACGATGTCATCTATTCATATGCCCTTGCTATCGCTGGATCAATATTACCTAAGCAACTAGTAATCTTATTAATTGATCATAATTTTTACCCACATTGTACCTGCCTCATGATTTTGCTCTTTGAAACTTCCTTTAAAAAGTGGACTCGGGGGCTGGGGATTTAGCTCAGCAGCACAGTGCCTGCCTGGCAAGCGCAAGGTCCTGAGTTCAATTCCCAATACCAAAAAAAAAGAAAAAAAAAAAAAGTGTACTAGGGCCAGGGATATAGCTCAGTGGCACAAGCACCTGCCTGGCAAGCACAACATCCTGAGTTTGATTCCCCATGCCAAAATAAATAAATAAATAAATAAAAAAGAAGTGGACTCATTGGCAACCCATTCTGGACCCCTCCTGTCTCTTAGGAGCTATTCCTATTCCCTTTGATTTCTTTCTTTCTTCCTTCCTTCCTTCCTTTCTTTCTTTCCTTTTTTTGAGACAAGGTCTTGCTATGCAGTTCAGGCTGGCCTTGAGCTCACTTTGTAGCCCAGGTGGCCTCAAACTCGCAATGATCCTCCTGCCTCAGCCTCCCGAGTGCTGGGATTACAGGTGTGCGCCACCACACCCGGCATATTCTCTAGTCTTTCGCCCCAATAAATTTTCGTACTCTTCACCTCCATTATTCCTTGGAACTCACGCTTCCATTTAGGGGAGCACAAACTCTCAGTATCTGACATCTAGCATTTCCTTTATCAGTAGGTTCCTGGTGGGTGATAGTAGGGTGATTGGAGTCCACCATAAGGATTATGAGAGGCATTTAAAAGTTTTGAGCGGTGGTCTGAGCAGCTTTAGCGTGTGAAGCCTCACTCTGAAGGCTGGAGGCAGGAGAGGAGGAAAAGGGGGATGGAATAGGCCATACTGAAAGCACGAGAGAAGGAAGCTGCTGTGGAAGTCGAGGGAGCATTCAGAAGGTTGTTGATTCATAGCTGAGTGGGTGACAGGGTAAGACGGCAGGAGGAGGAGAGAAAGCCGCACAGTCTCCGGCCTGAGCGCCTGAGTAGACAGCATCACCTTGAATGAAAACACAAGAATTCAGGTTGGCAGGGATAGAGAATGATCCCAGGGTGGGACTCCCTCAGTGCAGAGCTTTCAAGAGGCATCCAGGTGAGATGGTGAGTGGGCCGCCAAGGTAGGGCCTCCAGAAGAGGGGGTGGAGCAGGCAGCCATGCTGTTGTCCAGCCAACACTAGTGCCCCAGACTGCTGTGAGCACTGTATGTATTGGCCACTCATTCATCAAATCCTGGAGTGGGAGCACAGACAGCCCCCAGAAACTGAGTTACACTGTTATGGTTGATACATTGTGTCAACTTGGGGAGTCTAGAGGTTTGGCTAAGCCACCAGCAGGAAGCCAGGGTGCTTACTTTGTATACATCCTGAGCCTGTGGAAGAGGAGGGTATGGAGATTATGTGAGAGCTACACGCCCCTTAGGTGGGGGTAGCCTGTTTACAAAGTAAAGGAGGGAAAGAAGCTGCTTGCTGTGATTCCTCCCTTTTGCTCTGGCTGCATTGCTGTTCGACTGCCATTCCCCCCTTTGCTCTTGTTGCTTTGCTACCTTTTGCCTCGGAGCCAGCCAAGTATGGACTGAAACCTCCACAAACTGTAAGCTAAATAAACCTTTCCTTCCTTCATTTTGGGCGTTGGGTATTTTGTCTCAGCAACGAGAGAAAAGTAACCAAGACATACACTCTTCAAGGGAAAGCCAAGAGGAGGGGTATGGTGGTGAATACCTATAATCCTAGCAGCTCAGGAGACTGAGGCAGGAGGATCACAAGTTTGAGGACAGCCTGGGCAATTTAGCAAGATCTGTCTCAAATTTTAAAATAAAAAGAGGCAGGCCTGGTGGTGCATGCCTGTAATTTCAGGATTTGGGTGGGCTGAGGCAGGCACGTGTAATCCCAGCATTAGGGAAGGTGAGGCAGGAGGATTACCACAAATTCAAACCCAGCCTGGGCTACATAGTGAGTTCAAAGCCAGCCTGAACTCCATAGCAAGACCTTGTCTCAGAAGAGTTAATTAATTAATTAAAAAGGGCTGGCATGTAGCTCAGGGTAAAGCCCCTGAGTTCAACCCCCAAAACTGCAGAAAAAGAAAGAAAGAAAGAAGACTTGCTACCCCAAAGTTCAAGATGAAGAGACTAAGTAGGAGTGGTGGTGAACTCATGGCTCATGTGCCACAGCAGGCCGTTTGTTATTACAGAAAGCTCAAAAAGATTGGCCATCCCTGGCCTAGACTCTTCAGTTTAGGGCTCCTTCTCCTCCATAGCATCAATGAATTGTTCTCTAACAAGTGCCATGCCCTGGCTGTCTCCAGGAAGTAACCAAATCCTGCCCCCTGGGAACTTGCAGTCTAGCTGGGGAAATATTTACACATTCACTCAATAAATATTGATTGAGTGCCTGGCCCTGTCCTAGGTCTTCTTCTAGGCACTTACGATATATGAGTGACCAAGCAAAACAAACTCCTGTGCTGAGTGGAGGGAATGCTAGCATAAACAAATACGGAAATGGCCTTCAGGAGTAATAAATTTTATGAGAAAGCTGAACTTCCCGAAGGTGACCGGCCCTGATGGATGGCGGTGGGTGGGTGAGCAGGGAAGACACTTGGTGGGGGCCAGGTTTAGACTGCGACCTGGAAACAAGAGGAATTATTGGCAAGGTAGCTAGCTCCTCAGGTGGTAAGAAGTGAGGCAAGATGAGACCCTTGCACTAGGGAAAGTGAAAAACCAAAACAACCATCAAAATCTGTGAGAAGCAGCCCCTGTCCTCCTGAGGAGAGCTTGTGCCTACAGAAAACGGCCACTAGCCACAAGGGAGCTTGTGATCAAGGTGGCCACGTACCACTCTAGCATCAGCACTGGAGCAGATTGGAAGGGTGTGGGAAGCATCTCAGGATTTTTTTTTTTTTTTTGCCTTCTTGAGACAAGGTCTCACTATGCAGCTCAGGCTGGCCTTGAACTCACTTTGTAGCCCACGTGGGCCTCGAACTCACAGTGATCCTCCTGCCTCAGCCACCCAAGTGCTGGGATTACAGGCATGCACCACCATGCCCGGCCACATCTCAGGATTATAGACATCTAAGTTAGGTAGAAATATAGTGGGCAGTTAGATAGGGCTGGGCACCAGGCGTGGTGGTGCATGCCTGTAATATCAGCACTCGGGAGGCTGAGGCAGGAGAATTGTTGTGAGTCTGAGACCAGCCTGGGCTATAAAGTGTGCTCAAGTCCAGCCTGAACTGCATAGCGAGACCCTGTCTCAAAAAAGGCAAAAAAAAAAAAAGACAGGGCTGGGCCCTCAAGGGAGTCAATGCAGAAGATAAAAATTCAGGGCGGGGCTATAGCTCAGTGGCACAAGCTCCTGCCTGGCAAGCAGAAGGTCCTGAGTTTGATTCCCGGTACCAAGAAAAAAAAAAAAAAGAAGAAGAAGAAGATAAAAATGCATCGGGCCAGGTAGGGTGGCACACGCCTGTAATCCCAGCACTCAGGAGGCTGAGGCAGGAGGATCGTTACAAGTTTAAGACCAGCCTGGGCTACAAAGTGAGCTCAAGGCCAGCCTGAACTGCATAGGTGCATCTGAAGATTAAAGTCACAAAGGCTAGATTTACATGCTTCCCTGAGGGATAAACAGGGGTGTGGGATTATTGGTATCAATCCCTTTTGAGATTTCCCATTAGGGGTTTCTCATTAGGGGTGAGCCATCCTCTCCCACCTAATAAAACTAAAACCTCTAGAACTACTAAAATTACAGACATGACTAAGATTATAGGTTACTGACCAGGTTTAATGTCACCCCTGCTACCATTAGATCAATATTACCCGAGCAACTATACTTGCAATTTTATTGGTTGATGGCAATTTTGACTTATGGTGTACTCGCCTCATGATTTTCCTCTATAC